ACAGAAGTTAATACAAATGGCTTTAAAATGTACAAAATGATATGCAATTTATTTTTAAAAAAGAAATTAAAACAGTGAGATACTATTTCAACCTCTCATATTTCAGGGATCAAAAGTTTGATAATGTGCTGTGCTAACAAGGATATAGGAAAACAGGCATTTCTCATATATTAATGGAATGTAAATTGGTAAACCTCTAAGAAATTTGACAATATTAACCAAAATTGGAAATTTACGTACCCTGTTACTGTGAAACAAACTACCCCCAAACCTAGTGGCTTCCACATTTACAATTATTTTGCTTAGGATTTTGAGGGCCAGAACTTGAGGAAGGCTAGGGTGGTGGTTCTTCTCTGATCCATATGGTGTCAGCTGGGGTGGCTGACACTGAAGGATCCACTTCTGGTTCATTTTTTAGGAATTTATCCTACAAACAGACTGACAAATGTGAGCAAAGATGTGTGACCAAGGGTATTCATTACAGAATTAGTAATAGAAAAAGAGTAGAGTAACCTAAGTGCCCGTAAATAGGGGATTGGGTGAAATAACTCAATTTGTGTCATGCAATGAATAACTATGCACCTATTAAAAAGAATAATACAGCTCTATGAACTGATACTGACTGAGCCCCAAGATAGAATTTCAAACAAGAAAAATCAGCCCTGGCCAGGTGGCTAAGTTGGTTGGAGCACCGTCCTGACACCAAAAGGTTAGGGGTTTTGATTCCTGGTCAGGGCACATGCCTAGGTTTCCGGTTTGATCCTTGGTCGGGGCACGTATGGGAGGCAGGGAACTGATGTTTCTTCTCATGTTGATGGTTTTTTTTCTCTCTCTCCCCCTTCCTCTCTGAAAATCAGTGAAGACGTATCCTTGGGTAATGATTCAATAAATAAATAAATAATAAAAATCAAGGTGCTGAACCTCTTGAAAAGGTACCTAAGGAAAGAAATGTTTTTACAAGCCCTTGACAATAAACCAATGGAAACCATATATGACACAACCCAGGCCTATGTGGCGCTGTTGAGGACACAGAGAGAGAGGAAAGTCCTGATTGGGGTCTTGTGCTGCTTTCGTCTCATCCTGCCCACTCACTTGCTTGGCCTGCTCAACCTGAAGTCCAAATCCGGCTCTCCTAGGAAGGCTGCCTGGCACCCAAATCTTGCCGTTCTTTTCACTGGTCATGTGAAAATGGCCTTTGGAACAGATCATCATAGGGTCAAATTTTGCCTCTACTGATTATGAGCTACTTGACCTTGACAAGATATTTAATCTCTCTAAGCCTCTGTTTTCTCACCGGTAAAATGGGGTTATAATGATACCTCCTTCTCAGGCAGAGCAAGGTTATAAGACATATAAGTTCAGCACTTAGCACAGCACCTGGCAGAACAATGTGGTCTTTAGCATTCAAACCATTGTCACGACATGTCACCTGAATCCAGCACAGGGAGAACGGGCACCAAAGCAGGAAGCCACAGAGACTTGCGAGGTGGACAGCTGCTTTGGTATGGTGTCATCAATTCAGGTTACAAGTGTCAAATCACATGGAATGGAGGCCAAGCACCTTGCCACCCATAGCTCCTTGAGATAGGCCTGGCCAAGAACAGCGAGGTTGGTCCCACTAACCCTGACTTACACTTAGTCACCTAGAGTGCTGTTTAAAAGGACTCTCCCACAAAGATGCATGAATCTCCATCCTTGTCACTGAAGGAGACTCCAGCTCTGGAGTACTTTCTTCTCCTTCCTCTTCTCGATGATTCTCTGGGCTTTTGTAATAAGGAAACACGCAGTGCCAATGCCCTCCAGGCAAAGACAGCCAAGACGACACCTCCAGTTGAGCAAACTGGGTTTATCGCAATGAGGGGGAACACACGGCCTGGGGTGGAACCCTGGGCCAACTTGATAAGAGGGTGTTAGAAAGGACTTACAGGATTTGGACTTGTGTTAGTGGATTTGGAGAGAGCTAAGGAAGCAGGGCTTTTCTCAGTGTCGGATGCTGTCAGGAAGCAAGAGTAATTCCCTGATTGGGTATATTAGTAAATCTTACCTAGAAAGAGAAATGACTAGAGCAAAGCGAAAGCTGCAATTAGTAAAGAAACAGCAGTCACTCCTATTAACCAGGACATAAAGACGTTTGGTCATTTTTGTGACATGGACAATGTTCGTGGTTTATCTGTGTCCAGATCTGACAACAAGAGTTGTCTCGTTTTTTGTCTTGAACCATCCTGGTTACAGAAGGCCTTGTCTGATATTAATTGTGTGAAATTGTTTAGGTGCAACAGGGGAACACCAAATCCTTGACTATGCATGTCAGGTGAGCTCCTAGCTACGTCAAGCTGACAGCACCAGGCCAACTTCCAGAAGTCAGGGCGGCTTTTCTCTTTCTCAAAAGAGGAGGCCAGCAGAGAAGCGGGTGGGCAGGATTTCCGTTTTCTGGGAATTATGCAGAGTTTCTGCAGCACATGCCAGAGAAGTAAGGGGCAGGAAGGTGGAGTGAGATAATAAAAATAACTGTGGACACTGTGTCCACTTCATGGCTTTCAAGAATTATGTTTCTTTTAAATATAAAGTTTAAAATATAAATTAAAAACTTGAGCAATTTTGAATTGACTTTTAGTTGCTGGGTTGTGACCCTTCTATTGTGATACTGCTTTGAGACCAACCATGTGAATCAGGGTCTTAAAAGGGCAAACTTTCAAAACCAAGAGCTTCTGAGCCCACAGCTCCAGTTCCAGCTGAAGCTGAAGGCTTGGTCAGGATGGTGTTTGAAGAAGGAACAGAGCCAGAAGGGCACCAATCAGGACCCAGGCTCAGATGCCTGCCGCCTCCACTTCAGAAGACCCACCTTAGAAGACAGTTCCCCAGGCTCCCAGAAGGCAGCAGCCTTGGCCCTGGTCTGAGATCTGGGTCCCAGCTATTCCACCAACAGACCTGATCATGGAAGCATGCCAAGATGAGGGTCATGGTCCCTGCTCCAGGCACGCTGATTCTGTGGGAGGGCCAGGGCAGCCCACATCAACAGCAGAGAGACCTGGGAGCTGAAGGGGCTCAGCGAAGGCCCCCAGCCCCCTTCCAAGGACCTGGCATTGCTAGGCAGAACCAGTATTCCTAGAAGTGTGGAAAGTGGGGGCGGGAGAGGCAGAGGACCGCAGGGGGTGTGGAGCACAGAGGCGGGTGAATGCAGAGCATTCTTTGGAGACAGAGATGCCCTGTCAAGGAGAGGACCTTGACAGCCAAGCTCCATGCAGCTGGTGAACCCTATCCAGGCCGCAGGGGATCTGCATCTGCCCAGCACCTAAAGGACCCACTGAGGGGGCAGCGGGGGTGCACACACAAGTCAGCAGTCCCCTCTCCGGTCCAGGTGGTTGGCCAGGACGGCCTAGCCTAGGGTAGTGAAAGAAATGGAAAGGAAGGGGGCAAAAAACAGGGGAAAAGAGCCCTCGGAGGGAGTCCAAGAGCTTTGGAAGAGTTTTGGAAATGGGGCATCTGCACAGCTGGTCAAGAAGTGCGCCACCATCCAAACCTAACTGTCCTCAGGGGCAGGGACAGAGGCAAGAGCCCCGGGAGGGTCTGTTTTCTTGGCCAAGCTTGAAAGGAAAGGGGTGGCCCGGAGGCCTGGAGGCCCGGCGTGCGCCTCCCTCCTCCCGCTGCGCTCCTGCTTCTCCGGCCCAGCGCAAGGGGCCTGTGGCCGACGGGGAACTGGTGTCCACCCCCTGGGCCTGGGGCTGGGCCGCCGCGCTCGGACACCACGAAGGGGCGGGCGGCTGCCGGGGCAGCTC